ATAAAAATCTTCCATTTTGTAAACCCCTCTGAGTGCCCTTCTAGTTGCTAGACAGGATGTTGCCCCATTTGTGAATACTTAATAAAGCCAATCAGATGTTCAAATTTACTCAGCTGAAATTTTTTTTAACAAAGGGAAGATAAAATTTTTCCACATCCCAAAATCTAAGTATAAACTTTTACCATAGAGCCAAGCTAATTCAACAGAATGGATTTGATCACTGGATGCTGTTTGACTCCTTCTGGGGAAGATATAGATAGAATTCCTGACCCATTAACTTCCGGCCAAGATGGAGGCATAGATAGATACATTTTGCCTCCTCGCATAACCAAAAGGAGGACAACAAAAATTTAAAAACAAAAAATAATCATACTGCCAGAAAATCGAACTGTATGAAAGTCCAACAACCAAGAAGCTAAAGAAGAAACATTTCATCCAGGCCAGTAGGAGGGGCGGAGACAGGTAGCCAGGGTCCAGGAAAGGCGCAGCAAGGCGGCAGCTGGAGGAATCTGGCAGGCTAGATGGCAGCTGGTGGACCCAGTGGTCCCACATTAGCGTGCAGATAAACCAGGATCAACAGCTGGGGAATGAGACAGATCGTGCAATCCAGGGTTCCAGTGCAGGAAAAGAAAGCCTCAAAACCTCTGGCTGTAAAAACCTGTGGGTGTTGTGGCAGTGAGAGAAACTCCCAGCCTCACAGGAGAGTTCATTGGAGAGACCTACAGGGTCCTAGAACTTGCACAAACCCACTAACCTGGGAATTAGCACCAGAAGGGCCCAATTTGCTTCTGGGTAGTGGGGGAAGTGACTAAAAGCAACTGGGAGCCAAGTAAGCAGCACTGTTCCTTCTCAGACCCCTTCCCCACATACAGCATCACAATGCAGTGACCTGGGTTGCCTGCCCTGGTGAAGACCTAAGGTTCTGCCCCTTCCAAGATAACAGGCACCCTGAGACAAAGAAATATGGCCTAAGTGAAAGAACAGATCAAAGTTCCAAAAATAAAACCAAGCGATAAACAGATAGCTAACCTATCAGATGCACAGTTCAAAACACTGGTAATCACGATGCTCACAGAACTGGCTGAATATGGTCACAAAATGGAGGGAAAGGTAACGGCTATGCAAAGTGAAATAAAGAAAAATTTACAGGGAACCAACAGTGAAGGGAAGGAAATCATGACTCAAATCAATGACTGGGAGCAGAAGAAAGAGATAAACATTCAACCAGACCAGAATGAAGAAATAAGAATTCAGAAAAATTAGGAGAGGTTTAGGAACCTCTGGGACAACTTTAAACTTTCCAACATCTGAATCATTGGGGTGCCAGAAGAAGAGGAAGAGCAAGAAATTGAAAACTTATTTGAAAAAATAATGAAGGAGAACTCCCTCAATCTGGCCAAGGAAATAGACTTCCAGGAGATCCACGAAAAAGAGTCCCAAAGAAGTTGGACCCAAGGAACACACACCAAGACACATCATAATTACATTACCCAAGATTAAAGATAAGGAGAGAATCCTAAAAGCAGCACGAGAAAAGGAGACAGTTACCTATAAAGGAGTTCCCATAGGACTATCAGCTGATTTCTCAAAAGAAATCTTGCAGGCAAGAAGGGGCTGAAAAGAAGTATTCAAAGTCATAAAAGACAAGGACCTACATCCAAGATTACTCTACCCAACAAAGCTATCAATTAGAATGGAAGGGCAGATAAAGTGTTTCTCAGATAAGGTAAGGTTAAAGGAATGCATCATCACCAAGTCCGTATTATATGAAATGTTAAAGGGACTTATCTAAAAAATAAAAATGAAGAACAGAAACTATGAACAGTAAAACGATAACAAACTCACAACTATCTACAACTGAACCTTTAAAAAAAAACAAGAACAAACTAAGCAACAACTAGAACAGGAAAAGAAGCACAGAAATAAAGATCAGAGAGGAAAGGGAGGGGGTGAAGGGGGGAAAAAAGTACAGGGAATAAGAAGCATAAATAGTAGGTACAAAATAGACAGGGGAGTTTAAGAATAATATAGGAAATGGAGAAGCCAAAGAACTTGTAAGTATGACCCATGGACATGAACTAAGGTGCGGGGGAGGGGGAATGCTGGTGGGAGGGGAGTACAAGATGGAAGAGAATAAAAGGAGGGAAAAAATGGGACAACTCTAATAGCATAATCAGTAAAATATATATTTTAAGTAATTCCTGAACCATGTCTTCAACAGAGACTTGTTGAACTCCTTTTATGCATTAGTTACTTTGTCAGATTCCTCTCCTCTACGTCGCTCAGTGGGAACTGGAACATGAAAGTAGAAGGGACAAAAGGCACAAGATAATCTTAAATTTTGCTATAGCTCCCAGCACCTAGGACACTGTCTGACACATAACAGGTACTCAGTAAATATCTATTGGATGAATCATACCGACATTTGCTGCACTTCATTATAACTGTATGTGACAGAAGCAACTGAACCAACAAGCTATGTGCAGAGTAGAGAGACAAATTCTGCCAAGGCAGGTAGGGAAGGAAGATTTCCCGGAAGCAACGATTAGCCCTTCCCTGAAGGAGCAGCTTTTCACCAGGCAGAGGCTGCAGGAAGGCCCTGTGGACAGGAGTATGCCCTAATCGAAACTGGAACAGATGGCCTGAGCTACTTTCCAATTCAAATTCCTACCAAGGTTTTATTTCCTGGGGTTTTGTTGTGTTTCATCATCTCCTTCAAACCTTCAACTATAAAGGGGGTACAGACACAGGGGTTGCTGTGCTCCTCTACCAGGAAGCTAGCTAAAAGCAAACAGCAGGTTACAGAAAAATAAATACTGTGGAATGTTTTATTTACTAGGCAGTAAGCCTGTAAGACTCTTAGGCATTCTGAGAGAGAAAAATAATCTGAGAACACCCTCCAAGTCCACTAGAAACAAGTCCACTTTAAAAACACATTACTATCCTTTATTTTTCTGCTTCTCTAAGCGAGTTCATGCAAAAACTACTTGATTTCCAAAAAGGAGACGAAAAGGTAATCTAAACATTTCATAGTCATTTCTTACTCCAGGGAGAAACACTGGGGAGTGAAGGGGGGGGGGGCGGCACTTAAAAGTATTTGAAAGAGAATGAAAATTAAAATTCAGAAAATTAAAATGAAAAAAATGAAAACAAGGGATAAGAGCAAGTGAAAATTTTTCAAAACCTCTAAGAAAGCAGAAATACGCCACTTCCCATCCTATTCTCTTTAAAAATGGGAAGGGCCACTAATGCAGCCCCAGGATGGACAGTGCCCAGCCCTTCATGCCAGAAGCAAACAAGTCACAAAGTCAGGTATAGAGAATGCTAAGACAGGGGCTCAATCCCACTCTACCATTTCCTGTCTTCACTACGCCTCCAGCGCCCTACGACGGACAAGCCCCACCTTATCACAAAACTCTTAGGTGGCGAGCCAGCCTTCCCTCGCCCACGGCTCTCCCAGAACCATCCCAAACACTGGAAGAGTAAAATGCATTTGAATGTGGTATTAAAATAGACCTAATTGATGTAACAATTACCTCCGAAGAAAATTTAAGGTGTAACCTGATACACAAAGCTCTTCCTTCTGAGAGGGCGTGGTGGTGGAGGGGCGGGAGGATTCTTGAAAATCCAAGTAATAAATGTGCTTTCAGCCCTGACCCGTGTGGCTCGGCGGCCGGGCGTCCTCCCGCACGACGCACCACTGGGAGGTCGCCAGGTCGCTGGTGGATCCTCTGTCCTGGCGCAGGCCTGAGTAGAGGTTTAGGTGCCCCACCGGGGCGCTTACCAGAGGTGACCATCGACGCTTCCCTCCCTCGCTTTCTCCCTCCCTCCCCCTCTCTCTAAAAATAAATAAAATCTTTTTTTAATTAAAACCTGCTTTTATCACCTGCTTAAGAGATAACAAAACTCAGCCTTTGAGACTCTTTAATTCCCAATTTTTGAGCTTGTTTTCTAGCACAGTCCTCCACCCACCTCTTCAAACTACTGTGTGCTTCCGTAATGAAGATCCCTGGATAATCACCACCTTGGACAACGAGAACAGAGTCGATTGTCAAATACCCCGTTGCAATAACAAGTTTTCATAAAGGAGTTGATAATTATGAGCATCGGCATCCCTGGAGGGTTTACCGGTATCTCACAGCGGCAAAGCAGCTACTTCTCTCCTTTTCATGCCAGCTAATGAACTGGTGTGAACACGGGGAAGAAGGAGAGAGAGAAGGGCTATTCTGAAACCCTCAGAGATCGGGCCATCTCTATCCCCAAATTCATCATGCAAGGCAGGGGAGGCATTCTCAAAAAGCCAGTTCTGTGGAACCTGAATTCAATATGTAATTTATCAGATCGAGTCTCCTGACCGCCAGGCCCTGGCTTGGGGAGGAGGGGAATTCGCGGTGAGAATAGACCTCAGAAGACGACAGGGAACAGACAGGCTTTTCAGAGCCACCCTGGGCTCCGTCCAGAGGCCCGAGGGGACTCGGAGGGGCTGGAACGGCGCGCGGCTCCCAGCACCGCGGCGCCACAGGTTCCCCGTCGCGCAGCCGGGCGGACTCCCACAGGTGGGCGGCGCGCGGCCTGGGGGGCCTGGGCGAGAGGAGGGGGGCTGGGACGGGCCGGGGGCGCGGCGGAGGGGGCGGTTTTGCCTCAAGGAAGCTGGGCGGGAGGGGAGATCGGCGTTGTCATCTGCCTGGTCCTCGCTCTCTCAGCTGGGTGGTTACCGGCTTTTCCCCAAGGCACAGGGAGCCCGGGCGGAGAGAGGAGCCGCGTGCACCTCCCACTCTCCTCCCAGCGCGCCTCGGCCTTCTCCCCCGGCGCCCGCGCGGCCGCGGCCCACCAGCTGCATGCGCCCCGGCACGTAGGAGCCTGCACGACCACACGTGGGCGGGGGAAGAGCGCCCGGGGGCAGAGGAGACCTGGCCCCTCTCCGGCCGTTCGTCTGCCCGGCCTAACTGGAGGATCCCGCTTCGGTTCACACCCGTCCCTCGTCCCCACACCCCCCTCACCCGTGTTGGCTTTGATGTTCTCCCGCAAGAAGTGGCCGCTGGAGAGATGCTGGAGGCCAAAGTTCTGGGCGATCCTCTGGCACACGGTGCCCTTGCCCGAGCCGGGCGGCCCGAGGATGACCGCGCGCAGGAGTTTGGAAGCCATTGCCTTCGCAAGGAGTGGGGCGGCCACACGGACAACCCGGACAGCGGCCTCGGAGAAGCCCCGGCAACTTTGTTTCTCCGGCCCCTGCTTCTGACACCCTCCGCTCGCTCCGGGACTCGCCGGCCGTCCCTGCAGGGGAAGGAGAGACTTTTAAGACAGCCCCTCCCCTCAGCCCCGCGCCGGGGCGGCTCGAAGGCGGAGTGAGGCGCCACGCTACACCTCCCCGCCCTCCTTGCGCCCACGCCGCGGGCTAGGAGAAGTCCGCGCCCCCGCTCCTGGCGTGGTCAGCCTTCGAGGCTCAGAGGTCGGCTCCACCAGTCCCACCTCGATCCCTCCCTCTGTCTCGCTCCCCACGCCGCATTCGAGGAAGGGGCCAGGCGGTCCGGCATCCCTACGCCAACCCCACTCAGTGCGGAAGCCGGGTCGGCAGTGACTCCCAGCGCACCCCGCCCCCTGTCGCCCCACGCACCGGGCGGCTGGGGGCTGAGCCCTTGCCCGGGTCCTCGCACGTGGGCAGTGTTTAGTCCGCGCCTCCGCCCCTCCCGGGCGGCTGTCACATCCCCCGAAGTCGCAGCGGCTGCCGCCCTCACGGACGACCCAGCCAACACCTCCGCCCAGGGTTGATGGACTCGCTTCCCCGCCGCGAGGAGCCGGAGTCCGGCACCTCTCCACCCAAAGCAGTGGCCGAAACACACACCTCGGCTGGGACGCGGCGCTCGCTGAGACAGGCTTCCAGCAAGGATCCCGCTGGGCGGCGCCGCCGCTGCCCGCCCGCCCGCCCCACTCCGGGTCACGGCCGGCCGCGCGGGACTCGCGCCTTACGTAAGCCGAGGAGCCCAGCTCCGCGCGAGACGCCGGCCCGCGCCCGCTCCCCTGCCCGCCGCTCTGCCACCCCCGCCTACCGGACCCACGTGCTCCCCGAGACCCAGTAGAGGCTGTGGGGGCGAAGGGAGGTAGAGAAGACTCAAGGGACAGAAAACGCTTTTTTGTGGTCGCCTAGGGACCCGATCTGCTGTTAAAGGGAAAACACACTCGCGTGCACGCACACACACCTTGTTGAGCGCCTACTGTGCGTCCGGTTGTGGACTAGGTGATTTTTCTTAAGCAGCGACCATTCCTGGTAGGTAGTTACAAGTGAGGAAAGGAGGCTTGGAATAAGGCCATTCGTTTCATTCATTCATTCAACAAACGTTTATTGAGTGCCTAATGTGTGCCAGACACAGGCGTTTGACATATAGCTGTGAACCAGAGATGGAATCCTGCCCTCGAGGAAGCCACATTCCGGCGGGCGTTTGAACCCTCCAAAGCCCAGGCTCCTCAGGGCAAAAGAAAGGAGGGGATGACTACTCACCTGTGCTCAGGATCTTATAACCAACTGATTCCAGGAGGTCAGGACTCCACTGTTGACACTACACTTACAACTCATCAAGTCCAAATGGGTGCTATCCCCTCCCCTACATATCCAAATTCATATTATCTTAAATCAGTTCCAACCCCACAGAGCCTTCATTTCCGACTAGGACTACCGTGATAACCGCCCGCCCATTAGCCTCTGGCTTCTGTCAGTCCATCCTCACAGCTGCCAGAGACATACCGCTAAAGTGCAAATCAATTTCTATTATTTCCCCACCTGGGATATTATTGTCCCTTCAGGATAAATTAAAAAAAAAAAATCCAGCACAGAAACACAGGTGCCTTCCATACACCTTTGCTTTCCACCATCTCTCCTTTTCTGCACTCCTTCCCCGGGCTTCCTGCCTTTAGGAAATCCATTGCAAGGCTCTGAGTGCCACCAGCCATGGCTTACAGATGCAGAAGGACAATGTGGAGAAGAGCTTCCTCTAGGTTCCTGGCTGCTCTGTGTTGGGGTGGCGGGGTTGGGGTGGGGGGAGGTGGGGACATACAGACAGCCGGGCAGCACCTAGGGTCTGGCTACCTGGGACCACACGTAAGCCGCCAACGCCAGGGCAGCATCAATTCCATAGGCTCACCCCTCTCTCTAAAATATCCGAGCTGCTGTAGACCTCAAAGCATTGTTAAGCCGAGCCCCTTCAGCCCTTCACCTGGGAACAAAGAAGGGATGGGGGGAGTATAATCTCCCCTCTTCTTCCTGCCACATGCCCTATAATATATAGCAGATACTTTGTGCTGGTTCTCAAACCTGAGCATGCCTCAGAATCACTCCAGGGGCTTGTTAAAACATACTGTTGAGTGCCACCCCCTTGCTGAGTTTCTGACTCTATGGGTCTAAAGTGGATATTCCTAATAAGTTCCCAGGTAATGCTGCAGCTGCTGATCCGAAGACCACACTTCAAAAACCACTGCTCTAGTGAAATGAACATTGAGACATGAGAGCCCGGGGTCCCTTATTCTGCTGCCTGCTGTGGGATGTTTGGCCCCTAAACTTTTCTCTTTCTAAAATGAGATTGAATTTAGTACATCTCCAAAGGTCCCTTTGTGTCCTTCAAGAATTGATTCCATAAATTCCCACAGGAAGCACAGCTTCTAGACTGCACAAAAACCTTGCCCTGTCACCCAATTCTTTTGCCTGCTTTTGAATTGTCTTTACCAACGTCACCTTATGGTGTTATGGAGTGCTGTTGGCCACTCGCACGGTCTCAGGACTTTGTGTTTAGGAGCTTAGGCACTTATATTGAGAAACAGACAGAAGAGTTGTGACATAGGTAAACTCAGAGAAACCCAGTAGGAATGGAACCTAGCATTTCACAAAAGAATACTCAAAGGACCTTCCCTGTGTGCATAGCCACAGCAGGGCCCCACAGCTCAGCTGCTGATTGGAAGCTGTAGAAGCAGAAGAAATGGGTTTTGGAGTCAAACACCTCGGGATTAGACTGCAACGGCACCATTTACTAAGTCTGCAAGCTCCGGACCTCTGCGAGCCTTAGTTTGCTTATCTGTGAAAGGGAGATAATACTTATCTTATAGATTGGTGGTGAGACTGAAATGAGATAATATTTACAAAGGATTTATCACAGTGCTGGGCATATAATAAATATTTCATCATAAATATCATCACCATTATTAACAATAGGACAATTATCTAGCCTCTCCGATCTCTGTTCCCAAACTGTGAGGAATAAATGAGCTAATGTGGGCCTTAGGAAATGATAGCTATCCTTATCTCGTATACTCATGTAATCAACTTCTTCCTATTTTCTCTGCCTATGGTTTTAAACCCACTTATAATTTCTCACAATCTACAAAAATATTCTACAAAATAAAATTCTACAAAATAATATGGATCTATGTGTTTGTTTCCCCTGTAGACAAACAGAACACTAAGGGCAGAGGCCAAATTTTAGTCATCATTCTATCCTCAAAAATATATAGCACTTTGCCTGTAATAAGTATTCTGTTAATGTCAGCAAGTCTCCTTCCTCCTCCCAACACACATAACACTAAGCAGTATAGTCCCCTCTGCAACTTCACTAGATGGTAATATGAACTCTACATTTACACATTCCTTCATCATATTATCACAAGCTTGCAGAGAAGGTAATGTCCTTGCTCTCTTATTTTACAGATGAGAAAACTAAGGTTCTAAGAGGCTAGCCGAACCTCTCAAGGTCACAGAGCTTGTAGCTGGTACAGCAGGACTCAGATTTTCTCATTTTGAGTATAGCACTCTTGTCTGTTAAACTTCAGTCATTTCTACAGTACTTTCATAATTTTGCCATAACCTTGTCTCACCTTGCTTTTAACTGCTTATCATTTTTTAATATCGACTCAATTTGTTTAAATAATTTATTTGAAAAAGAAACTATATACAATTCACTAACCATAAATTAAAGGATAAACTAAAATGAACACAAGAAAAATAAATTAGGATTACCATATTCCAACTGAAATCTATTGACTGACTACCTGATGAGTTTCTGAGTTTAATATTTTTTGTTGTTGTTAATGGAGACTTTTTATTATTAAAGTATAAATGGCAATTGTTTTCAATTACAGTTGACATTCAGTATTATTCTGTATTAGTTGCAGGTGTACAGCAAAGTAGTTAGGTAATCATATACTTTACCAAGTGCAGCCACCTGACTGAGTTTAATCTATATTTAAAATAAAAAGTAAGGGAGTTGTGTACCAAGTGTTAGAGAGGTACTTAAGACATATAACATCCAAATGAGCATCCGTGTGTTTATCTGTAATTGCATAGCTCAAAATGAAATTAGATAAGGAATACTTTTTTTTGATATAGCACAACTTATATATTTCAAATGGACAAAAGTAGTGTTATTTACAATATCTTAAGATAAATTGCCTTTGAATGGGAGCTTTCTTTCCAGCATTTTGAGGTCTATAAGACGTATCTAGAAAATTTACTACTGTGGAAAATGAAGACTGCTTAAATCAAATGGGGGAAGGGGTGGGCCTGTGGTTTTTCTTTTTGATTATTGCTGTAACACTGTCCTTCAGGTGGCTGAGGAAGTTTCATATTTTCTTTAGACATCATTAGGCACTGGAGCTCCTGCAGGACAACTTTGGTACTATATGAATTCTGCCATTTTGCTAGCACTGATATGGCTCTTGGGTCCACCACTCCATTAGAACTATTAACTTCATTCATATTAATTTGTATTACAAATCATGCAAAAGGGGGGCGTTGCTTCTGTGTATTTAGGTCCACGTTCTATTTTAAGGCTGTATATTCAATTTTCATAAATTGTCTGAGCCCATGGCAGCTGCCATCTCGCATTTTTAATATTCAGTTTAGTATTATTTGAAGCCAGATCCATAGACCACATGGAATCGTCCCTAATACTATATCAGATTATCTCTTGCATCATCAGGGATGCATGTCACATACTTTTCTGTACCTCAAAGTGTACCTTTGAAGTGTAATTTAATATAACTCAGCAGCATTTTTAAATGATGTGATCACCCCAACCACAGTTTACAAATATGATACTGATCCCGTTGCAAAAGTTAAACCCCTATTCTTCTAGCTATCACCTCTTGGTCACTTTCTACCATAATTTTTGGCTTATTCCTGTTGTATTTGTTGGAAACAGTAGGATGTTTGAGCATAGAGGCTTCATCTTTTTCATCATGGCCTCTACACAGGTAGGTACAGAATGCAGGCATAGAGAGCAAATATTATTGAGTGACTGAATGAATGAGTGGATAGCTATTTCTCTGCCCTCAGTGAAGCATCTCTGGAGATACAGAAGAAAGGCTAGTGATTTGGACATTCCAAGTCTGACAAAAGAAAGTCGGGAAATAATAGGAAGAAGAAACAGGATTTTAGTCTGACTGTACCCAGCTCCTTTCTCCCTGTAGGCACTCATTAAATACTCAAGAAGCCAAATGGTTCATTGAGAGAATAAATGGTGGATAAATAATTAACATGGCATTATTTATGAGTATATTGTGTGCTTATAGGGGAAAGAATCATTTATCTCCAAATTGTCCTAGCCCACATGTTTTTTAACCTATAATATCTTAACAGTTATTGAAAGAGGCAGCAGCATTTATTTTACAAGCCTGCTCTCTCAAACAAACAAAAACGTTCCCAAGTAGTTAAAAACAAACAAACAAAGAACTGGGAGGAAAGAAATCAACTTTTTTGGTATT